TCTTCACAATGTCAAACTATTACTAACATACCATCTTCACAATGTCAAACTATTACTAACATACCATCTATACAATGTCAAACTATTACTAACATACCATCTTCACAATGTCAAACTATTACTAACATACTATCTTCACAATGTCAAACTATTACTAACATACTATCTTCACAATGTCAAACTATTACTAACATACCATCTATACAATGTCAAACTATTACTAACATACCATCTTCACAATGTCAAACTATTACTAACATACTATCTTCACAATGTCAAACTATTACTAACATACTATCTTCACAATGTCAAACTATTACTAACATACCATCTATACAATGTCAAACTATTACTAACATACCATCTTCACAATGTCAAACTATTACTAACATACCATCTTCACAATGTCAAACTATTACTAACATACCATCTTCACAATGTCAAACTACTTCTTCTTACAAAATATCTTGACATTGTGAAGATGCCCACCCACTAGTCAACAGCATTGTTTTTTCTTTGGAATATTTATTATACAGCAAATGGGCTGATGATTCTGCTGGTCGACAAGACTGTTCCAATACACATAACTTTTACATTCATGTGTTTGCTATACGCTAAAGCTTGATCATTCTCAAACCTATTAAGTTTGAGCTCCACTATTACAAAGGTTATGACGAGTCGTCTGTTTCAGTTTAATACCCATCAATAGGCTGATGATTTCAAGAGTGGAAAAGATTTCCTCTGAGATTATTCTTCAAGATATAAGCATTAAGCTCATGAGTCCTTGTCCAAAGACTTTTTTGATGAATCTCCACTTGGACTGTGGCAAATGTATACCATGCTCACCTTTCTAAATCACATGATTGCGAACAGCGAGGAGGGATGATTAGCTTGGAAGGATAATGACCTAACCTAAACATCTAGATTATAAAAAGTTCCGTGGGAGTGCCGATCAACAAAGGTCAACCTAATCTGTGTCAAAAATATTTAAAAGGTCAAAATAATTTCAGAACATCGTGTCATAGATAATAAAATATCATCATGTTAAATACAGAATCGACCTGAACAATTTCCACAAATATTCTCAATGGTAGGTTTATAAACACTGGGTACCGTGAATTTAATAAATCCCGGAAAACCTGCGTAGTCGAAGTTTTACTCATTAATTCAACAATGGTTTCTATTTTTCTCCATATTTGGAATATTCAAAAGAATCCATCGAGAAGACAAATTTCAGTCGCAAGGTATTAAGAGGTGTCCCACAAGGGCGAGCATGACCTGTTTTACCAGTGATATACACACCAATTATCCTAATAATGATGTGAACGCCCTTAATTTTACCAGTGAGTTATAACAATAGCTACAATATGATATGAAAATTGATCAATTTAAAGTATATCTATATTATTTCTGCTGCACCTTATTTTTTATAATGAGATAATTATAAACTGATAAAAAAATCATTTGATTTGTTGGCAGGGTAGTCCGAACCTTTTGTTTATTTTTAAATGATATATATCTATAATATGTTCTACTTGTCAAATTTCAGCGGGGATAACGACTGAAAAGATCACTTGTCTGAAGATTTCACAGCATGAAACTCTGAGTAACAACATGTTTCAGTTTCTGTTGATATATTTAACGCCTCGTTTCGGATAACAACCTCTTGATAAGTGCCCGGTTTGTAAACTAGGATTCGTACTAACGTGATATCAACTGCAAGATATCTGTAAGTTATATCTGATCTGATATCTCGCCTATCAATCTAACATTATATTTAAAACGATAATATTCAGATAATAAACTTTGTCATTAAATGTCAGAATTTATACCCGCTATCTCATTAATAATAGTCGAAAAAAAAAACAACGGAAATGTCTCTATTGATATTCAGAGATACTGAAACTCCCAATCGGTAAGCGACTTTATGACATTCAGCTATCAGGATACCATCTCCATGATAATAAAACGGAAATTAGCTTGGCTGCGACTATGCACTAAGTGGAAGGCAGGACAACATGCTAAAATCCTACGAGTTGAAACAAAACGAGATATGTCTTTTCAAAGTAATCATCTCCAGATTTTCAATCATTTCAGAAAGATAACCCCTGTCATCTGACATCTAGCTGTCGACTAGAAACAATCTGGTAGAAATATTGAATATGTTGTAGATGATTGATGAATATCTGTGATTAATATTGATAAAAGTATTTCTGTGTTCAGCTGAATCAGGGTGGTTTATGATATATAAAGTGAATTTGATGAAGCTATCGTATCTTTCATAGTAGTCATGTACAGAAATCTTCAGTAAAGTTCTTAAAAATGAAATAGTGTTGAAGATGATTTGCTCACTGTAGACAGATATTTTGTGTCCTTGTGCCCCGAATCTTAAAGGATATATACACTGTACTCCTTATTTGCTTTACTGAGTCTGTTAAAATTCAATAAAACATTCCGTGGAAGATTTAGAAGCTGTTCTCAGCTGGTACAGCAAGGTATTAGGGGTTAATAGTGACTATAATCCCATTTCTAAATGTAGTATTTGTTCTATTCTAGGCCTGTACATTAGGGAGAACCCCCCCCCCCCCCCTCCTTCCTCGAAACCTAAAGACAAGCGACAGGTAGCACAATACACACAGGTGAGTCATATCGACTTGATAACTTGACAAGAATATGTTACAAATTTAAAGCACAGTTAATTAAAAGTATATAATTAAGATATGAATGAAGTTTAATCAAGTAAATATTAATAAAGATGGTTTTTAATCATGCCAAGTTAATTAAGAAACTTATGTAATTAGTTAATTAGGTCGAGTAAATGATAAACCAAGTGCAGAAGACGCAGACACCTGTAGATTGCAGGTAAATTTTGAGATAACATGGAACCAGCACTCCTTATTCTTGGCTTTATGGCTGACCTGACCGAGTTTATTTCCGGTACGGTACGACTGGTTTTAAGCCAACCTAGGAAGTAATAGGACCTAAAAGTCCACCTTACCCTGTAAAACGCGTAATTACTTTGGTTTATCGATATATTTATATTAGAAATATAAGAAATGTAAGTGTGGTAGGTCTGGAGTGTCTATTTTCTCACTGAGAGATTGACAGTGTAAATAATAGTATAAACTATCGGTATTATATTCTCTTATAGGTTCAACTATTAACATTGTTCATTAATACCTAATATATCTCAAACTTTAATTCATTAACTAGATACAGAATTTCTCACCCCGTATCAGGACCGCAGCCAACTTCACTGTGTGAACTACGTCTTATAAGGATACGCAATGTAATACGTAATAGCTGACATTGTGAAAATGGTCCATAGCTAATAAAAATAGTTAGCTCCTATCCTCCTGCACCTGTAGTACGATTTTGGAAGGACGCTTTTGACGCCAAAGGTCAAAATATTACAAAGGGAGAGGGCGCAAAATATTTCTCATGGAGACACAGAAAACAACCAGCTCCCGATCGACCCCCTCCCTGCTCTTGCCCTATTTACAGACCAACACAATGTTATATAGTTTGAGTAACTGACACAGAAGAAAGTATATTAATAAATAAATAAAGTTATCGTGTCAGTTTCTCTAACTACAGGTCATACTAATTAGTCTAACTTGTCATATAATAAATATATAATCTTACTTAGTCTTATTTATATACTGTTATATAGATAAACCTATTCTCACCTAGTTTACCTACATATAGGTCGAGTTGTCCATTAGAATCAACTGGTTCTTCGTTACCGAAGACAGGAAATGTCATGTATAAACAGAAAAAATAATTCAGTTTATTCCTGCTACTTGAAATTACCTCGGAATCTTTGACAAACGAAACATTTAAACACGCAAGACCTTCGTAAAACTGGATGCTTTTCTATGTCAGTCCTCTCGCTCCACTTGCATCAATGACAGAGAGAAACAGATCAAAATTGATTTCATTTCAAGACACAAACTAGAATTGTTTCTATGTAAAGATAAAGAGTTGAAAAAGGAAAGTGTCAGAACAAAAGCAGTTGTGTATACAGCGCGGACCTATGAGGAAGCATCCAATACATCGTCCTTATAACAAATCGTTCTGTAGCAGTTGAAACGAGGATTCCAAACGTCAGAACATACCGGGCGAACTTTCTAATTACTTTAATACCTTTAACTTTAAAGAGACTGTTGCGCCATTTTTGACCAATAATACTTTAGCCTCAGAAACCGGAATTTTTTAGCTGAGCTAATCAGTAATAGTGTTCACAGCTCACTGTCGAAATTTGAGCCTTCAAATCCATGTGTGTCCAGAATTATCCACGATTGAATGTTAAAATGACGACTCGTCAATTAAAGATACTCTGTGATATATAGAAAGGACATATATAGAAATAGTGAGTAAAATTACTAGTTTGTAGTATTTTTAAAAGAATTCTGCGATTTTCGTACTTCTGAAGACTATTTACATATATTCAAGACTGAAATCAACTCCCCAAAATGACGCACCTGTCCCTTTACGATGTTGTTACCTAAGTTTTATCTTTCTAATTTTCAAGGGCGTTGTACTCGAAGTCATGATAATGAGTTTTATTTATTCAGAAATTCTCAAAACAGAGGATGTTCCCTCGTATACCCGCGCAAATTGAAATTATTCCAATTTGCCTGAAGATTTCACAGAAATGGTGCCAAGATTTATTCTCGAAGAAGCAAGTGTGATTACCTTTACATTCACAAACATGTAAAATTTAGTTTTAATAACTCTAACAGGCCGACATCTTCTCTCCGGGGGAATTTTTTACTTTTAAATACATCAACATCTTTATATCTGATTGTTTACAGACTAGAGAAATAAGTCAATCTCTTCATCAACCACATTGTTTACAGAATCGAATTTTGTCAATCATTTCTGTATCAATTGAAATACCAGCTACAAAATACTACTGAGAGTCTTAGATTGTCTTTGGGTTGATGAAAATGCAGGGCTTGGAATTAATTTTTAATTAATTTCTGGACTCACTGTGGTCGAAAGGGTATATGAGAATCTGTTGAGATGTATTTCAGTTGGATTGGTAGGATTAATTGTTTTCAGTTTTCTTTGAAAAATCTTTTTTAGATCCTGTCAGAAAGCATACGTTTCGCCAGACGCTTTTCTCAATAGTAAATTGTATCACTGACAGAGAGGAAACCTTGGACCGCCACTACGACCCCTTCTGTTTGATGTTCACTCAGTGAGTATAGGGCCATATTGTATCACTGACAGAGAGTAAACCTAGGACCGCTACTACGACCCCTTCTGTTTGATGTTCACTCAGTGAGTATAGGGCCATATTGTATCACTGACAGAGAGGAAACCTAGGACCGCTACTACGACCCCTTCTGTTTGATGTTCACTCAGTGAGTATAGGGCCATATCGTATCACTGACAGAGAGGAAACCTAGGACCGCCAATACGACCCCTTCTGTTTGATGTTCACTCAGTGAGTATAGGGCCAT